TGATCCCCTTTTTAAGAAACTCTAACCTAGATACCAAGATAGTACAACCGCGCCGCCCGACGCTCCGTCGGCCCCCTTCTGCCCGCCGAGGCGCCCCAGTCAGCACGGCCGCCACCATTGCGACCCACGCGCCGCCCGGCCTGCCGCCGCCCGCCCACCAGGACCGGCCGGAGCGGCAGGACCGGCCCGACCCCATCCTCGCCAAGATGCACATCGAGGTGCAGGTGGCGCTCAACTTCGTCATCTCCTACCTGTACAACAAGCTGCCGCGGCGCCGCGTCAACATCTTCGGCGAGGAGCTGGAGCGCGCCCTCAAGGACAAGTTCCGCGGCCACTGGTACCCCGAGAAGCCCTTCCGCGGCTCCGCCTTCCGCTGCCTCAAGACCGGCGACCCCATCGACCCGGTGCTGGAGCGGGCGGCGCGCGAGAGCGGCGTCCCCGTGCAGGACATCCTGGAGAACCTGCCGCACGAGCTGGCCGTCTGGGTGGACCCCGGCGAGGTGAGTCGAGGGGTGACCCACTGTAAAAAAAAATTGTGTACAATGATTGTGTGAATGTGCAAGAATGTGCAAGATTTCTGGCGTTTTTGCCACACATGTTGCCTACTTACAGGCGTTTTTGCCACCTGAATGTGGAATGTGCTGAAATTTTGTACCATGAATGTGGGAAGCTGTTCCCGCTCGAGATAAGTGCACTGCCGGCGCGGTAGCCGAGCTCGTTAGAAGCCAGCGTGGCACGCCGCGGGCGCGGGTTCAACTCCCGGTCAACTTCCGCTTTTTTTTTTCTTCTTTCATTTTTCCCCCGAGGTACCTTTTCTGAAAGGCGGTCCGTTCATTCTTTTCGCGGTTCGGACAAAGCAAGTCTCGAGCTGAGAGACTAATTTAGGAAGGTCGTTATGGTGTGTTCTCTTATTGTCCCCAACTATCTGCAGCCATTGCAGCGGATGCAAAACGTGCGCTAAGCGTGCGCCGCAGAACAATGTCTGGCACACTAAGTTCGGGAGGGGCGCGCCGCGGCGCCGCGCAGACAGTCCACCACTTCGCGCGGCGCGCCAAAAAAAGCGAAAAAAAGACACACAAACCAAGGACTTTCTTTTTTCGTCTTTTTTTGCAATAATAATTGCGGCGGCGCGTCCTTGTCCTCCACACATGCCTCGCGCGCGCACAGCGAGGGGCATTGCGGACCGGAAAAAACAAAAAAAGACACGAAATGAACAACGAGAAAGAGAACATAGAACGGGGCATAGGGATAATCGGTGCGAAGTACGAAAATGGGTCCTCTCTCTCTCTCTCTCTCTCTCTCTCTCTCTCTCTCTCTCTCTCTCTCTCTCTCTCTCTGTCTGTCTCTCTCTCTCTCTCTCTCTCTCTCTCTCATTCTGCTCCGAAGACGACAAACTTCAGCCGGAAGTAAAATGGCGACCTTCGCCAAATGAAAAATCACTTCGGCGCCGCGCCAAGTTCCGCTGCGTCCGAGCGCGCACGCGCAGTGGCCGGTACGCGGGGTGCAACTTCATGATGACCAGATATCAAGGGCCACAGCATCGCCAAAATTTAAAGAAAAAAGATTATTTTTATTTCGTTGTCTATTCCTACCGCTAGGGTTTGGCGTTTTTTTTTTTTTTTTTTTTTTTTTGGAAAGCCACCCACACAATAGGGTTGGCGACACTGCAGCAGCCTTGCAAGGGAAGGGGCGCGGCGCTGCCAACATACCAACGTCGCGCTGGCTGGATTGCGGACGAGCACAGGTCTGCCAACTTCACTAACGAGGTCCCGTGTCCCCAACAACGCGGCCACCCCACAGGAAAAAAAAAACAATGAAAATCGGGTCAGGGGAGGAGAGGAATGATTGAAACAAGATGAGCAGGCTCTCCGCGGTTAAGAGGTTCTCGAGAAAAGGTTCGCTCACTTTGTCGTTTGATTATTTCGCCACCGCCGCCGACTCCCCACTCCCCATAAAGCGTCTCGGCTTTTTGGCCCGTCCCGTTAATTTTTTGTAAAAAAAATGACGGAGGGACGGGCATATAGTATGTCCCCGCTGGCGTCGTTCGTTCGTCCGTCCGTCCGTCCGTCCGAGGACTTCCCGTGTCCGATCTTGACCAAATTTGGTATGCAGCCCCCTCTGGGACCCCAAGAACCGCCCCGGGGGCAGCAAATCCGATCCGAGCCCCCGGGGGGGCTGCTGCAGGTGCATCATGGTCTACAGGGGCGAGGGGATCTCGGCAACGGACAGCTAGGAGGGCATGTAGGGGTATTTTTGGAATCGGGGGACGAGAGAAAACCAATGGTGCCAGTTTTGGCGAACGGAGAAAATTCGGACCCGGGTTCAAATCCAGGGAGTATTTTTTGAACATTCTTTTTTTTCGAGTTTTTGCATTGTTTCTGACGTTTTTGAGGGGTGATGACGAAAACGACATTTATTTTAACCCCAGACTCAGGTTTAATTCCCGTCAGGGTCAAACATAGGCGAAATTCGTACGTTTCTTAATGTAAGGGACGGGCCAAAGTTGCCGATGTATATCGCTACTTTTCCTGTTATTATTTTTCACCGTGCACCGGATTAATTTGTCCGAAAACAACCCCCCCCCCCTGCCGGGCCCTGTAGGGCCTCTCGGTGTCGCGCCGGCCAGCCGCAATTAGACTTTCTGATTCGAGTTTAACTTTTCATATCTTCACCTCGACTTTTGTTTCCATACTCGCGGAGGAGAAAATGAATGAAAAACTAGTTGGTATTCAGTGGCGGCGGCGGTTTAGTCTCACTCAGCTGGCGGCGGCGGCGGGGCGGCGGGTTCGTTGACTCCGCCCCTCGCGTCGCCCTCGCTCTCTCGCTCCAACGCGCTCGCCCGCAACATCGCCTCCCTCTTTCTCGCTCGGACTGATGGGCCCCGTCTGATTAGTGGAGCGGCCCCCTGACCGCCGGCCGGCGCTGCCGCCCCTTCGGCCCCGTGCAGGCAGCCCCTGCAGCCCCTCCTGCAGCCTCCACCGGAAACCAGAAGCCAGGCTGTGGTTGGCGGAAAAGGAGGGGGGGGGGGGGCTACCGAGTCATCGCCACTTTATTAGCGACATGCATATAGCGTGGTAAAGCACGGCCCTACATTATTAAGCAGCCTTTCAGCCCCACCCCCGCTACTCTGCCACTTTCCCCTCCCCCCTTTCCCCCCCCCCCTCCCCCCCCCCCTCCCCCCCCCGAGTAAGACGTGGGCGCCGCCGACGCCGCCCCCAAAGTGCAGGGCTGCCACCCCGGGAGCGAAAACGAGATTTATCTCGCGTTACTTTATTTCGCCGCACAATGTTTTTCTTCGCCCCGTTTTTGGCGGCGCTGTTTTTTGCCCGCCGCCGTCAGCCCTTCGGCCGTCCTCGGCCTCGTCGCCGCGTCGCGCTGTCTCTGTCGCACTCATGGGGCGGGCCGCGGGGTCGAGAGAGAGAGAGAGAGAGAGAGAGGGGGAGAGAGGAGAGAGAGAGAGGGGAGAGAGAGAGAGAGAGAGGGAGAGAGAGAGAGGGGGGGAGAGAGAGAGAGGGAGGGAGAGACAGAGTGAGTGAGTGTGTGTGTGTGTGTGTGTGTCTCGAAACAACCGCTGCAGCTCGCTAGCGGGCTGATTCCGTGAGTCGTTTTCGTCGCTCTGTCTCTCTCGCACCCGTACGGTTCCCCCCGTGAGTGCGAGAGAGACAGAGCGACGAAAACGACTCTCGCGCTGGTGGTGCTTCGTCCTGGCTGGGCCGGGTCACGGCGCGCAGGGCGGAGCAGGGCGCCCGGCCGCCAGGCTCGGCTGTGCTCGGCTCGACAGGTTGCCTACCCCGCGCGGGGCTCCCCCTGCACCTCGGATGGATACGGCTAGAGCCAGCTCTCAGGGATATGGCGGCCCGGGTGGCGCGGCTCGAGGGGAAGGGGGGGGGGGGCTGCAGTCGTCTGTCTCTCTCTAGCCCATACGGCGGACGGCGCGCGCGAGAGGGAAAGACCTCCCTCTAGGAATCAGTCAGGCGCACGGAGCGAGACTCAACCATACCCGGCCAGATTTGTGTCGTCTTGCGGTTTTTTGGGGGGAGCAGGGTGCGGCGGGGCGGGGCGGGGCGGGGGCGGCGGGGTGCGGCGGGGTGCGGCGGGGCGGGGGGGGCGGGGGGGGGCGGGCGGGGGGGGGGCGCGGGGGCCCTTTAGGGGGTTTACCCAAACCCCCAAAAAGGGGTAAAAATACAGACAGAGGGCGAATTTGAAAAGGTGCCAGCGGCACAGCGACGAAAGTGCGACCGAGACAAAAGAATACAAGGCCCGGTTCTTGTTTGTTGTCAAACCCTGTTAAGTTTTTGTTTTGGTGTTGTTGGAGAGACGTCAACCCACTTTCAGAGGAGCAGATGCCGGCAGATGCAATTTGTGTCAGCGCATAAAGCTTTGGAAATGAGAGTGATCAATCGCGAGCCCTGAGTAGAGGCCATCGGAAGCGGCAGCTGCAGCCGGCCGATTTATCGCACGCACTCTCTCTCTCTCTCTCTCTCTCTCTCTCTCTCTCTCTCTCTCTCTCTCTCTCTCTCTCTCTCTCTCTCTCTCTCTCTCTCTCTCTCTCTCTCTCCCTCTCTCTCGCCCATCCCCATTTCCCCCCACACACGCGGGCGTCCCCGTCGTCGGGGTGCTATTTGATGCCGGGGTGGGGGAGGTCCGTAAATAAGGCGAATTGTTGGAATTCACCCTCCGGCCGTCGCCAGCAACCCCGGACGGGCTGAACCGCGCCGCGCCCCTGGACCGGACTCCGGGGACCACTCGGTCGGTCGCTCGGTCGGTCGCAACTTGCAGATAATCTGATTCTACGCCTGCGACTCCCCGTGGAGCAGCGGCCTGCGAGCCGCCCGCCTCTCCCAGTCTTGGCACTTCTCTTCGGCGACCGCCACCGCCGCCAGGGTCACGCCCCGCTCCGCTCTGCACCCCACACGCATGGCGGATGCTAGACTTGACCACGGCGGACGCCGCCTCCTCCCCGTCGCCGCCCCACAGTGGGCCAGAAGACCGGCGCCGGCGGCCAAAACTCCAGACGCGTTTTGAGCTCCAGAGTCGCCAAATGGGACTCAAACCGAACGTGTGACCCCACCGATGGATTCCTCGTTCGGAGAGCAATCCATTGATGGGGTCACACGTTCGGTTCGAGTCCCATTTGGCGACTCTGGAGCTCAAAACGCGTCCGAGATGTTGACCGCCTCCACCGGTCTTCTGGCCCACTGCGCGGCGCCGCGGCCTCGCCTTCTTTACTCTGGGGCCGACGCGTAGGTCGCGGGTTGCGCGTCGTCGTGGCCGCCGTGGCGACGTGCTGCAGTGCGAGGGTGTGGTTTAACAACACGATGGACCCCCTCCCCGAGGACGACGAGGACGGCGACGACGGCTTTACGAGGGTCAATGTCTCCTCGGTCTCCTCGCCCTCCGCCTCGCCTCGCAGCACCTCGCCGTGTTCAATAATTACTCGATGACGTCGTCAACACCGCGGGCACTCAAACGCCCTCTCTCTCTCTCTGTCTCTCTCTCTCTCTCTCTCTCTCTCTCTCTCTCTCTCTCTTCTCTCTCTCTCTCTCTTTCTATCTCTCTCTCTCTCTTTCTTCTCTCTCTCTCTCTCTCCTCACTCTCTTCTCTCCTCACTCTCTCTCTCCTCACTCTCTCTCTCTCTCTCTCTCCTCACTCTCTCTCCTCTCTCTCTCTCTCTCTCTCTCTCTCTCTCACACACACACACACACACATTCCCCTTGTAAACCCACGAGCAACCCACGAGGAATTTTTCTCGTGAAAGGAAATACCCTTTTGTATTCATCTTTATTAGCTTCTGATATTGTTTCCCGCCGCGACAGGAGAGCAAGAAGCCGGGGAGCGCTTCCCGTCCTGACCGCGGGCAAGACCCCCGTGTTGGCTCAGGCAGAGGCTGTGGCGGAGGCTGGCCGCCCGAGGCGCAAAGGTGGCCTGGCCGTGGTTTTGTTGTTGCCCATGAAATGCCTCCCCCTCCCCCTCGCCCCTCTCCTCTCTCGCACTCAACGGGATTACGGCCGGCCTGGTCCTCTGGTCCCCGTCAGCGACGACCGCGAGGAGTAGGACCACCTTGCAAATTCAGCAGTGCATCCAGTGCACTGAGAAAAACGAAAGAGAGAGAGAGAGCGAGGTCGCGAAGCAAAAATCGTCGATTCGAACCCGCGTCACACCAAGCTGGTGGTCTGTTGGCTGATTCCGAGAGTTCTGTCTCTCTCGCACCCCGTGTAGGTGCGAGAGAGACAGGTCGAAGAGCTGACCCTCGGAATCAGTCTGCTGTTTGTTTGGCTGTTCGAATTCGGGCCCCGCGGCCTCTTCAAGCCGAGTGCGAGGTCGCGAGCCTCCACACTGTACAGCCTGCACAGCCAGCACAGCCAGTGGCACACTGAGGCCGCCCTGCTGATTGCGAGAATGTCCCTCTTCCTGTGGAAGGGCAGGGCACGGCAGGGCACGGCAGGGCACGGCAGGGCACGGCAGGGCACGGCAGGGCACGGCAGGGCACGGCAGGGCACGGCAGGGCACGGCGGGGACGGCAGGGGACGGCAGGCACGGCGGGCACGGCAGGGCAGGAGGGCCGGCAGGGACGGCAGGGACGGCGGGCACGGCGGGGCGGCAGGGCACGGCAGGGCACGGCAGGGCACGGCAGGGGACGGCAGGGACGGCAGGGGACGGCAGGGACGGGAGGGCACGGCAGGGCACGGCAGGGACGGCAGGGCACGGCAGGGCACGGCAGGGCACGGCAGGGCACGGCAGGGCACGGCAGGGCACGGCAGGGCATGGCACGGCATGGCAGGGCACGGCACGGCATGGCACGGCGCGGTGCACGTAGCGTCGCGTAGTGCAGCGCACAGTGCGGCCGCGTACACAGCCAGGCCCCCAAGCACGTCATTGTGCCCGCACTGGGAAACAGTCATTCCGACGTTTGGGTGGCGGTTTTTCGGCAGGATCGCTCCCTCACCGTCTCCTCGTTACTCTGCCGCCTGATTTCGGAGGACCGCTTCGTCGCTCTGTCTCTCTCGCACTGATGCGGCGAGAGACAGCGACGAAACGATCTTCGGGAATCAGGGCGATTTGGAAGACCTGGGCTCGGCGGTCTGGCAGTCTGCCCGGAGGGACAGAGGGTCTCCCTGCAGGTATGGGCAGGGCGTTTGACAGTGCTGCCTACGCCATGGGTTCGGGGAGGTGACGTTGGTGGTTGCGGAGATAGCCGCCCTTCCACGTAATCGCCACAAATACATTTTCGCGGTAGGGTGCCTGTGACATAAGGCAATGACGATAGTTGGGGAATTAGCTGTGGTTATGCCCTTCGGCCCAAAATAGGACCCTACCTGCTGCTCAGAGCTCGCAAGTGTCGCTTTTTTAGGCACGACGTAGCCCGACGTAGCCCTTTAGTTTTAGTATGGGCAAAAATCGCCATTCTTTTGTTTTTAACGTGATCCATGCGACAAGTTTTAAAGCCTCACAACTTTTCTGCAGGAGTTTTGATGAGAGTTTGCAGTGTTGGGAAGTTTGTCTCAACATACGATTGGTGAAATCTGGTTGAATTCGCTCGCTAGGTACTTTTTTTCGGGTTGACCTTTTTCTCCGCCACGCTGCAGCGTAAAAAATTCCATACTTTTGTGCGGAAATGGTACAGAAAAATATAGTACGGAGGTACGGAGAAAAGGACGGAACGTTCCGTACTTGCTCCATATGAACCCATGTAAATGGGTACGGAAAAAAAGTACGGAACGTTCCGTAGTTAGCAAGTACGGACGTTCTAGGCAAATTATTGACCAGACATGTTCCGTACTTTTTCCTCACAGTGTGTTCTAACCTCCGCCCCCGTTCTGCTTCCAGGTGTCGTACCGCATCGGCGAGAAGGGTGCCGTCAAGATCCTGTTCAGCGACAAGCACGACCTGTCCGACGACCACCTGGCGGACCGCGAGGTGACCAAGACGTTCAACCCCGAGGCGCAGTGCTTCCGTCCCATCGAGGCCATGCAGTCCATGCAGCCCATGCAGCACGCGGCGCCGCACAACGGCCACAACGGCCACAGCGGCCACAACAACGGTCACCACGCCAACGGCCACCACGGCCACATGCCGGGCCTGGTGCTGCCGCCGTGCAGCCCCAGCCAGCCGCCGTCGCCCTTCGAGAACGGCGGCCTCGGCATGAACGGCATGGGCGCCATCGGGCAGCCCGTGGCGCCGGGCAGCGCCGTGGCGGCGCCGGCCCCCCTGGGCGGCCAGCCCAGCAACGCCAACGGCCACACCAACGGCCACGCCAACGGCCACGCCAACGGCCACGCCAACGGCCACGCCAACGGCCACGCCAACGGCCACGCCAACGGCCACGCCAACGGCCACGCCAACGGCCACGCCAACGGCCACGGGAACGGCGTGCTGAACAGCGTGGTGACGTCGCCGTCCTCGGCGCCCAGCCCCATCCCCTACAAGGGCTCGCCCAGCCCCGTCACGCCGTTCCTGCCCAGGTCCTCCGCGCCGCTCACCTTCACCACGGCTACGTTCGCGCAGACCAAGTTCGGCTCCACCAAGCTCAAGACCAACAGCAAGCGGGCCAACAGGTGGGTTGTCCGGGAAATCGTTTCCCCGAAGGTGTGTGTTGGCGTTTCGCGGTTTTGCCGAAGTAGGCAAAAACGGCAGCAGCGAGCCGGTGTCGAAAGGGTTGCCTGCCTTCTCGGCAGTGCTTGAGCTTTGCTCCCGAGCATAGCGCGCCGAGGTAGGCAACCCTCATCACACTGGGGCATCGCACGAATTTTTGCCTACTTGTGGCAAACTTGGAAAGCAGCGTGTTTATTTTTGGATACGCGCGGGTTGAGTGCGGATCCACTGCATGCAGCCTGCGTCCCGCTGTTCACTGCTGGCGCCGCCAGACTTGGTGGAAAGGGCCGGGGGTCGCGACCCCCATAAACCCTCCCCCCCCCTCCCCTCCCCTTTCGTTTTACACACCTGGAGCTGCACTCGCCGCTTTCCCTCTCGGCGGAGGGCGCGAACCCCTTGCGCAGATAAGACCCGTCCGGAATGAACGTCGCCGCACTCCTTTCAAACGACTTGAGCGTCGCGTCGATACCGTGCCGTGCCGCGCCGCACAGTGGGCCAGAAGACCGGTGGAGGCGGCCAAAACTCTAGACGCGTTTTGAGCTCCAGAGTCGCTAAATGTGACTCGAATCGAACGTGTGACCCCACCAATGGATTCCCAGTTCGGAGAGCAATCCATTGGTGGGGTCACACTTTCGGTTCGAGTCCTGTTTAGCGACTCTGGAGCTCAAAACGCGTCTAGAGTTTTGGCCGCCTCCACCGGTCTTCTGGCCCACTGTGCGCCGTGCCGCGCCGCGCCGTGCCGCGCCGTGCCGCGCCGCGCCGCGCCGTGCCGCGCCGTGCCGCGCCGCGCCGTGCCGTGCCGTGCCGTGCCGCGCCGAGCGTGTTGCCAGCCAATAGATGGGCCGCGGATAACCCCCCGCCGATGTGTGCAGCCGATCGTTGCCACCGCCACTTAAGCCAGGGGATGCCGCCGAACGATGGCGGGCACGTCGGCGTCCCCTTCGACAAATGAGGGGGCCGAAGGGAACTGATCACTGTACTTAACCGTTCACGGGCTCCTGGAGTATGAATTCAGGAAGGGAAATCTTGGGAGTCCCACTCCATAAATGGTTGGTCGAATCACAGCCAAGCGCGGATCCGGGATGGCCCACCCCGCCCTCTCCCCGTAGATCGCCGACTGAAAAGTAGGCAAGATCAACACTTTGTCCCTTTAAGAAGGCAAAAAAGTGCTACTTTGCCCCTCCCCCTTTTAAGGCCGACTCTAGATCCGCCACTGATGACAGTGGGTATGCATTCGACCAGCCATTTCTGCCCGGGATGCCCCCAAAACTGTCCATTCCCTCAACCCTGAGCGAGTGGCGACCAAAGGAAAAGTTAAACAGCCGAACCCCACCAGGGGCCTCATTGTCGGAGTGCTGTTCCGGTGCGTTACAAGGGTTCGGTCCTTTGTTTCGCTCGTTGTTCCGAGGCTGTTTGCCACATTCATGATGGCACCAAGAATAGGCCTGCATAGCAAAGTCTCGCCGCTGGCTCAGGGTTGAGGGAATGGACAGTGCTTCCCTTCTTTTCCCCCTTTTGGCTGTACACTGACGCATGCATCTGTGCCGCAGGATGTCCCCCACGGAGTTCTCCAACTACATCAAGCAGCGGGCCATGCAGCAGCAGCAACAGCAGCAGATGCACCACCACCCCGTGGGCCCCGTGGGCCACCACCACCTGCCGCCGCCGTCGCAGCTGTCCCCGCAGGGCGGCCCGGGCGGCGCGGGGCCGCACCGCTCGCTGTCGCCGTCGCTGCTCACAGACAGCTTCTTCTTCCCGTCGCAGTACCAGCAGCACCAGCCGCACCAGCAGCACCAGCAGCAGCACTTCGGCGGCCGCGGCATGTACGACTCGAACAGCCACGGCCCCAGCCCGTTCCTGGACATGTACTCCTCCAACAAGGGCTACTCGTCCTTCATGGAGCACAACAGCTACTACGGCGGCTCCGGCTTCGGCTCCGGGACGCCGACTCCGGGGCCCATCGGCTCCGGGCTGTCGGCGGGCGGCGCCGGGTCGGGCAGCCACAGCCCGGGCGTCATCGGCGGCGGCGTGGGGTCCTCGTCGTCCTCGTCCTCGTCGCTGGGCGGCGTGGGCTCGGCGGGCGGCAGCGGCCAGGCGCAGTCCCAGGCCGAGAAGCAACTCCTGGACGGCTTCAGCAACTTCAGCCTCAGCCCGCACCCCAGCAACAGCCAGCAGTACCAACACCTGCTGGTGGCCAACTAGAGCAAGCTAGACCTGCGAGGCTAGCGAAGCGTCCGCCGGCTCGGTTACGCTTAGTAGTTGACTTATTTTTACCTCTTTTGTATTGTTTTTTTCCTCGTCAGTGCTTTGGGTGAAGCACCGGGGTGGAAACGTTCGGCCTGTGTACCGTTCGGTCGCGGGTTCGATCCCCCGCAGAGGCGAGCGTTTTTCTTTCACCTGGTGTTGCACTCCCCACACTGCCCTTACCTCGTATGTTTATATTTTGTTCGTCTGTTTCCTGTTATTGTTTTTTTTTGAAATATTTTAATTTTTGTTTGACTTTTGTAGGAATTGATTTGCCGTTTTTGTGACGACTTTTAGCTTTTTCTCGTTCGCCTTACGGAAATGGTTTCATATCTGATCTGAGTAAGCTGGTGATTTCCTTGGGCCGTCTCTGTGTACCCGAGCGGCACGCGTTCAGTGTAATTTAAATAACTGTGGATATTATTGTGGGTTCATTTTTTATTTTTGTATCTCTTTGTAATAAAAACCAGTGTGAATGTGTTATAAAAATCAAGATGTGTAGAATGTATGGAGAATACCCGGGGAGAAAACGCAGAGCTAATGGAATTCTCGCGCATCGTCAAAGACGAATGGGTGATGCTGGTGTGTCGAACCGCATTCTTAGTACTGCGCCAGTGAGCAGAAAAAAAAATTGTCCAAAAATTATTGAAAAGCTGTGTAAATTTTGCTAGCAAAGTTCCTCATTTTCTGGATAAACTTTCCCTTTTTTCGAAATTTAGATGTATTGATTCTCCTTTTCATTTCGTTATTCCCGGTCTCGGCCGGAATATCGACCGGGCCTGCTCTGATCGCGTCTTCGCGTTAGTTTTGCGTTTGAACGTTTTCTACCACGATTATTCTCACCTTCGGCATAGGCTCATGAATACAGTATTACTTTTGTATCACAGAAACCGCCGGCTGGTTTCTTGTTCGCGAGTTTGCAGGTTAATTTTCAACCGTACGCAAAGACACTACCTGTTATCTGCGGCTCACGTCTCCAAACCTGTACAGAACATTGGGCTGCAGACACCTTAGTACAATTATAAATTATCGTCTGCCAAAGGCCCCGTTGAGCGTGGAGGTGGATTTTGTTGTATACTGACAATATGGACACCGTACAAGTTCCGTACTGCGTGTCATATTGCGGGAAAATGTAACCAGGATATATTTTTTGTAATAAACAACAGTTTTATACGTTCTTTTAAAACATAAAGTGTTATGTCATTTGATAATCTAATTTGGGTTACGTGTATATGGGGAACTGAGATTTGCGATCTGGCCAAACATAAAAACGCCTCATTTTTGTTGCGTTTTGATTTCTTTCTTTTTTTTCCTAATATAATGAAACACGAGACGAGGTAAAGTCCGGTACCCCAAGCTACCTCACCGCCAGCTGAGAAGTGGCGCATATCGCTGGGCCACTTGTTTACCTCGCATGTGTTGATCGCTTAATGACGGCTGTGGTTCGAACCTTTAAGAGCCTCTTGGAATAATCTCGTTCTACTGATACAAACTAAGCTAAGTTTCAATAAGCATGATGCTAGCGTAATGGTGGGGAATGGTGGCATTCTTGACTCCAAATCGGCGGCTGTGTGGAGACTGGCAGAGACCGCTGCCCGCCGGGCCTTGCCCAAGGCCTTGCCCGCCCATCGGGCGTGTCCGAACCCAACGCGGGGCGCCACAGCCGCGTCTTACACGAGACGACATGTAAAATGTGCCTTGCCGCCGTTTCTTCTGAAAGTATACTGTTTGTTATTTTTTAAACGACTAATAGAAATTGGATGTGTTTTAAAATAATTCTGCACGTTTAGTACTTTTTTAAGGGTAGTCGATTGCGTAGGGGATGTGAGGTTTTCGTTCAGCGTGGCCGAGGAGGGCGTCGGACAGTTAGGAGTCGGCTGAATGAAGGACAACACTGTGCCTCGGCGGAGTCCGTGAGCACCTGCCAACCTCTGCAAACTTGTCTGGTGCAAAATCTATCATAACAAGGAGCATCCTTTTCTTCTTAAATAAATTTTTTATTGATTTTTGTACGATATAAATAAATGTAATAATATAGTCAGTGACAAATTATCAGGAAGGTAGTTTTCATAGCCAGGAGCTTTGAAATTTCCAAAAAAAATATTAAAAGAGAAACATGCCCAAAAAAAATCAATTCAACTATGTGATGACCCTTATAGAAACATAAAATAAAGATTGCAAGTGTGTTACTATGACAAGTATATTTCTTATCGTTACTCAAATTGTTTGCTGTATACATTCGGTGTCTTTTTCAAATTTATGTAACTTACTCTGTCGGTATTAGATGAAATGTTGTATGGCCTACTTTGTGAACCACGAATCCTTGTATTGCACTATTGTTAATTAAGACTTGGGCTGCTCTGAGTTCTTTCATGGACTGAGGGTACTTGGTGTTGTGGGGCAGAGCAGAGGGGACACTGCCCAGATCATTCAAAAATGATTCCAGACTCCCCCGCGGAGACGACTAGAACGAACCCGACGCGATGTCCCCAAGGTTGCGAATCCCTCGCTCGAACCTCGCTTGCCGGTCCTGTTGGTCCAGTCCCTATTCGCCTCGTGAGGCTCGTGAGACGGGCCAGTAGCACTGAGATACGCTTCGTTGGTGTTTCGCTTTTTTCGAATCGCATCCAAAATGTATTATGTATACCTATTTCCCTATCTTGCGAGTTGTAGTTGTATTGCCTTTCTCAGAGGCCTTCATCGCGTAGACAAAAAACAAAAGTATTAGTAAATGTTTTCGAAATTGTAGGCATAAAAAGTTATCTACATGAACGTAGACTCGTGTTTTGGATCTTGATCTTTATGTATACATATATCTATATATAAAACCTATACGTTTAGATGTTTACTCGTTGTGTACATTCGGTTTGATATCTTCCGGGCCGGTTCAAAGTTTATCGAGATGGAAGTGCAGTCATGCTTTGTGTTCAGATTCATCCCGGTGATATGGAAAGATTTCTCAGGGTGCCCGGATACCTTTGAACGAACGCCCCGTAGCCCTTGGGGCCTTCGGTTTAGCTTCCAGACAGGCGACCTGTACACTAGCAGTACGGCAGATCCTCCCGACGCTTTCAGGCCGCAGCTGCATTAGGTCTAACTCCTTCCATGCACCCAGAGAGAGTTTTTAGTCCTGTAGCTTCGCGGGTAACTGTCCCATTCCGAACCTTCCATGATCGGGTACAGAACGCCAAGGCATAATTTATGTAATTTACACTGACTTACTTAAAATAATATACCAAAAAAATGTACTGTGACAGAGCCACCGGGCTAAAATATCTTTCAGATCATTGATATTTGAGTTCCTTCTCTTTAAGTGGATTGTTGATTTTTTTCCTTATGCAAGTTACAGAGCAACAGTAAGGGATACCTATTAAGTTAAACCAAAGTGAATAGTGACGTTACGTTACCTAAATTTATTAACTTTCAAACTGATTGTAGTTTTTACGCCATACGCTCAGTGAGTGTATATAATATATTAAATACTTTTTTACGTGTTCTATTATTTTTCCAACTGTTCAATGAATATATTTATATAAAGTGACTCACAGTATGTCCAGCAGGATTACAAATTTTTATATCATTAAATTTGTACATTAGTATTTTTCTACAGTGCTTAGTTTCTAGGAAAGTTCATAGACTTTTGTTGCTTTCATTTTTGTTGATTTAATTCTTTTACGTTTTTGTATTCAAGTTTTTATAGATTATATAATTTTTATTAAATTTTTATTTTTGTTGTTTGTAACTCTTATGGTTTTGTCATCTTGAACCTGTTTGAATCTTTCACCAGACTAGTCGTCTTTCTTAACAATTTGGAATATGGGGGAAGGCCGTGGAGGAAGGGGGAGGGGGGCGCGTCTGTCTTGGTCTGTCGCCAGCAGAGAGCCATGCATGAGTCGAGACATGAGCGGGCAACAACAGGAACGTGCTTTCGTCTTTCACGCAATAAAGGTAGGGGGGTTTGCGGTGGTGTGCCGCACCTTTGGAACTGAAATGCTTAACTAGATACACCCATTGGATGGAATCCAGCCACGCTTGAAGCTCCGCTGTGATTGGCTGTGATAGGCGCAGTGACGTCAGTCAGTGTGATTGTGGGTCCTCTCGAACTGTGTAGGCTGTGGTGGACGGAGCAAGAAGCCTGATGCGCGAAGGAACTGTTAGCTGCCACCCCGTAGCGAAGTTGCTAACTTTTTTTTGGCCATCGTCTGTAATATTCTCTTGAAAACATTTATATTTTGTATTTTTTTAAACGTCTCTTAACTATTTAAACTTATTTGATGTGCTGTGCGGATAAGAATGCACTTGTTAATCCCATCATGTAAGGCTTTTCGGAGTGTAAAGATACGTGTTGTATAGTCATCTGTAAATCTGTAATTTCGTGAAGTGCATGGTCATTTCGTTCGTTTTTTACTTTTGTTAGAAAACCCGTACAAACTCCCTCATTTCATCGCTCTATGACATTTTGTATTTTCGATTTTTCTTATTGTTAACCGCTTTTAGATATTGCAATTTTTTCATCTGCGTATGTATTCGATCCTCTGTAATTTGGTTTATGTGTTTTCACTTTTTTTTACCAAATCTTTATATTCGTGTTGAAACGTTTAGAGCGTTTTCAGTTCCATAACATATTTTATCTTTTATACCCTAATTATTACGATTTCACGTCTGTTTCTTACTGTGTATCTGGAAATAAAATCATAAGTATTGTCACGGAAGCGAGTGCGTCGTTTATTCTTATGCCATGCCAACCCACACGATCCCCTCGTCGACGGCCGCTCGCTCAGAGTGGCTCGGGGCGCCGTGCTGCGCCGTGCTGCGCCGTGCAAGCAGGCAACTTATCCAACACCAGAGGCCGTTTCGTTCGCTGGGAGAGACAGCGAGAGACTCCACCACACTGACACAAGGACTTTGTTTCGAAAAGAGATAGACACAGTGACACAGCTCAAGCTCGCTCGACTGCCGTCGCGTTCGCCGCGTTGTCCGTGCCCGCCGCGCCGGTGACCGCTCTGCGCTGCGTTTCAAATCCCGCGCAGGCCCGCGCGCCTGCAAGCTGGATTTCTCATAGCCATCGATAGCTATCGAAGTTCGAGGTTCGATAGTGACGGAGATCGAACAACGGCTTTGTTTCGATAACTTGTTTGTTTGTTTTGCAAAACGCCGGAAAAGTCTTTGTTTTGTGGAACATGTGAGTATTTTGGGTGACAGGGATCGTATTTGCGCTTCGCCATAAGCGCCTGGAGCGTTTTGTGGCATCTTTGTCGCTGCTCTGTTGATGTGCTCGGAAAGGCAGGTTATGTCTGTTTTGGGATTTTTAGTTGTAAATTCAGATGCCTTGAATGAATGACATCAAAACGTCGACATTTCAATCAAACTTCGTTCTCAGTACACTCATGATGACTTTTCATCCCACCCACTCATTGTCATGTACCTGTTCACCCGTTGTAGTTTGCACTAGCATTTGAAGTTTGTGTGTTCACTGTTTCAGGCCATTATTTGTCGGAAGTTCAGTCATGCACCTGTTGGAAGATTCTCTGAAGTGTTTGAATTCAACGAATCTTAATGGACCCCTGCAGCACTTTGCATTCAAGTATGTCGACTCTATTGAGTTTGGTAAAGCGGTGTTACTTTGCCCACTGGGGTAACTTTGGCCCAGCGGTTCAAAATGTGACTAATGTAATCAGTAACACTTGAATTGAGTGTCCAGCCCATGGGTCAAAGATGCCCTGGTGTGCCAAAGTAACCCCAGTTTACGGTATCTGCTACGAGCCACACTGCAACAGTTTACGGAGTAGTGTTAGATTAGACTAGACTATGCGCTGCTGTTTCAGATCAGTGCTGGCTCAAGTAATGAAAGATCATTGAATTTTATCCAATGTATACACAGTACAGTGTAGTGTGTAGGCTATGGCCTCACAAAAGTTGCAATGTATTATGCTTGATTTTCTTTTACTCGTGTGTCACATTAGCATGCGTATCCCCATTCGGTTTTTCTTGTTTTTTGTTCAAACAAACGATCAACAGTTGAATTAGTGGAAAGGAAAACTAGTGTCTGGATCTGGGCTAACTGGGCCAACTCCCAGCCGACCAGATTGGCTTGGCACTTAACGCATCTTAGGGGTGGAGCCCCTGTGATACTCGGGGTAGACAACACTCCACACGCCCGCGCGCTGTGGCGCTGAGTTGTGCCTACCTCGCAGGCGCTCTCGCCTCTTACACTCGCAGTGTTTCGCCGACGCGTTGCGTTCGATTCGAGTCAAGTCCGCTCCGCACAGTGGGCCAGAAGACCGGTGGAGGCGGCCAAAACTCGAGACGCGTTTTGAGCTCCAGAGTCGCTAAATGGGACTCGAACCGATCGTGTGACCCTACCAATGGCTTCCTCGTTTGAAGAGCAATCCATTGGTGGGGTCACACGTTCGGTTCGAGTCCCATTTAGCGACTCTGGAGCTCAAAACGCGTCTCGAGTTTTGGCCGCCTCCACCGGGCTTCTGGCCCACCGTGCTCCGTGTGCTGCGGACTGATTCCGAGAGTCGTTTCCGTCGCTCTGTCTCTCTCGCACTCACGGGGCGTCCCGTGTAGGTGCGAGAGAGACAGAGCGACGACTCTCGGAATCAGTCTGCTGCCGCTCTCGCGAATCGGAATCGGGCATTCCCTCCCTGCCTCCGAGTGCCTCCCTGCATGCCGCTGGCGCCGCTGGCCTTCGGAACCAGTTCCAATGGAATCGCTGTAGCTTTTTAATCGGGTCCATTGTCACCGGGTAATACTCGGCGCCGCTATCCTGTGCCTTGTCAGCGACTTTCCGCGACACTTTGCGAACCACTGCGGTGGAATACTACACAGTCTGAACAGTTTGTCGGTCTGCTTCATGTTTTGAGCTGTTTCCCAGTGGCGCGGATCCAGAACGCCCCCCCCCTCTCCCGCTCTGTATCCGCGCCTGCTGTTTCCCCGCGGTATGTCGTCTGCAACCCTTTCACGGCCGAAGAGCCCCACGAGCGCCCACGAGTCATTCATTCATCCATTCATTCATTCATTCATTCATTCATTCATTCATTCATTCATTCATTCTTCGTTCATTCATTCATTCATTCATTCATTCATTCATTCGTCCATTCGTCCATTCATTCATCCATTCATTCATTCATTCGTTCATTCATTCATTTGCAGGGAAGGCACCGCGCGGAAAGATGACTGCCAGACGACGGCGAACTCGGACTTCCCTCCCGGTTCGCTGCCGCTGCGGCCGCTGCCCGCCCCTCCTTGACTCCGTGACGTGCCGGATCTCCCGCCGCCGATGACGCCGAAGACCCCAAAGACCGCGACCGGCAAGACGTGCGTGCGTCCGTCCGCCCGAGCGGTGGCGTGCGAATTGCTTCGGACGGCCGGCGCGCGTCGTGCTGTGGAGAGAGCAAGAGCGGCGCGACCACCTCAGACGCAGCCCCGGCCAGGTATTTCGCCGATTCTGCATTTGTTGATTTTACACCACCGGCGGGGTCTCAAATTCATTTTTAAAAATATTCTGAATTACATTTGAGTCGAGCTTGGCCTAAAATAACAGCCCTGCGGCGGATGGCGGTTGTTTTGTTTTGTGGTGCCGGTGGAGTGGTTCGTCTGCGACGGCGGTGTGCTTTGCCTGCGCAGGGAGCAGGGAGCGCCACCTTCGCGGGGGAGCCGAGGACGGCAGCGAGCGGTGCTGCAGCGAATCAGTTGGCCTCCTCCACTCATCCCGGAGCAGGCGCCCCAACCGCCCAGTCCAACTCGCCCGGTCTCCGTCGCCGTCCGCCGTGGAGCCACTCAGTGCGTGAAGCCCGCTGTCCGCCGGGACAGGTGCCCGTCGTCGACCCCTGTCGAGTCCACTCCACTGCACTGCGAGCCCAGCCATGGCCGGACCCAGCCCCGTGTGGGCCGCGCTGTGCGTCCTGGCGTGCTTCCCCACGAGCAGGGCCTTCTTCAACACAGGTGAGTGATTTTAACGGTGTGTTGCCGCTCTCCTTCGCCGCGCTGTGCTTGGGGTCGCCGGCGGCGCGGGCGTTCCTCCGCGGCGCGCGTCGCGTTGCTCGCGACCGAGTGCCTCGCCGTGGTCGCGGTTCCCCGGCCCCTTTTGCTTGTTTGTTTGCGCTGCTCGTGTCCTGCAGTGTCCCCGCTGTGCTCACGCGTAGTGGGTTTTGCCTGCACCGGTATTCGAACCCAGGGTTTCAAGTCCGTGTATCGACGACCGAGCTGTTGTTGTGGTTGCCCCACTTGACGGCCTGGACCACGTGTTGCACGTGTTCCACGTGTTGGCCGCCGAGGCCCCTCGCTTTCCCTCTCTGTCGCTCTCTACAGTGCAAGCCTTTTCCTGGAGTAAACCTACCGTGCGTGTGCTCAAAGGCCGGAAAAACTAGACTTCCCTCTTACTGGGGCCTAGCTGTAACATGCAGTGTGTGGCATGTGAGGTGTAATCCGAACGCTGAGTATTTCAGTGCGACCCCTTCATGGTCATGTTCCTTGTGTCTGAGATGGGGCTGCCTGTAGCATTGTCGCCTAGTTGATGTGTTGACCCGACCAGCCGAGCGATTCAGTAGTTTCGTCGCTCTGTCTCTGTCGCACTCATGGGGCTCTCCGTAAGGGTGCGAGAGAGACAGACTGACTTTCAGATTTTCTGAATCGCTCGACATGCGCCGAGGCTCGGGCCGCGCGGGTGGAACTTGCGCTGTGTTTTCTGCATGCTGATCGCCCTACCATGGTTTTAATTGTTTTTCACTGTTTGGTTTCAGATGCCACTTCAGATTGCCCGGAAGGCACTTTCATGTGTCTGGATGGTGACTGCATACGGAATTCCAAGCACTGCGATGGTGTCAAAGACTGTCGAGATGGCAATGATGAGTGGGATTGTGGTGAGTAGTGGTCGGTCTGGGATGTTGGAGCTTGCTTCTGCAAAGTGTTGTAACATGCGTTTGGTTCATTTCAGATTTCGTGAAGTGTCAGGCACCTATGTATTTCCGATGCAAGGACTCTGGGAAATGTATCAGTGCTTCTTTTGTCTGTGATGAAGAGAACGACTGCGGAGACTGGTCAGATGAACACGATTGTCACCTGTTTAAGGTAAGCCTTTTTTTAAACTTTTGGGTCCACTGTTGAGACTTTGATCTTTTTTAACAGTGTGTTCTTATTTCAGCCACCTGTATCAGATGCTAAGTGTTCTTCGAAAGAATTTCAATGCCTCGACAAGTTGTGCATTCCAAGCGACATGGTCTGTGATGGAGAAGTTGATTGTCTTGATGGAAGTGATGAGACCCTTGGCTGCTCTTCTAAGGTAAGTTGGCACTTGATCTGTCCTGTTCTGTGATCCTGTCCTTTTCATTTGCTATACGTATTCCTTGTTTTTTTTAATATTTAGATTTCATGTGATGATGGCTTCATGTGCAAGAATCACCATTGTATTCCTTCGGAATTCAAGTGCGATGGCTCCAATGACTGTACGGATGGCAGTGATGAAGAGGATTGCAGTGAGTACTTCACCACCCTTTCTTATGCTGCAGGTATATTTCAACTGCAAATTCATTGCCTGATATTTTCCAGAAATGATTACCCACAATGTGCCTATTGATGAGTGTGTTCCTGAGAAATTGCTGTTCGCCTGCAAGGATCGAGTTGGTTGTTTGGACATCCATCAAGTTTGTGACAACACCTCACACTGTCTGGATGATTCTGATGAAGGAAACCGATGCTCAGAATCGTGTGAGAACTGCACTCATCAGTGTTACAAGACACCAAGTGGTCCAGTCTGCATTTGTCCCAAGGGTACTCGGCTGGAAAATGGAGCATGTGTTGGTAAGTATTCGCAGTAATCCTTGTTCTGTATCAGTTTAACCTGCTCCTTGCTTGACGTGCTTTTTTTATCTTTCTGCTTTCTTAGAATATGATGAATGCACAACCTACGGTATCTGCGATCAGAAATGCCGCAAGCAGCCTAGTGGTTACCAATGCTACTGTGATCCTGGTTATTCTCTTCAGAAAGATGGCCATTCCTGCAAAGCTGATGGTATGTATTTATTTAATTGTTTATTCATTTTATCATTCCTTGTTTGTGGTGTTTTCAGAATTGTGTTTTTATCTGGGTGTTTCAATTTTCAGGAGGTGAAGCACTTATGGTATTCTCTGCTGGAAGTCAAATACGTGGCTACTACATCACCTCTCAGAATCTCTTCAGGATAGCCAGTAAGCTAGGCCAAGTTGCTGGAATTGGGTATGACGGCTTCCACATTTACTGGACGAATGTTATGCAAGGGGATGAAGCAATCATGAGGTCAAATGAAGATGGTTCTGAGCAAGAAGTTTTAGTCAGTGCTGGTGAGATTTTGTTCCCCTTTTCTGCTCTCTAATTTGTATGATTGGAATGTGATTTCAATTCTTAATCCTTTGCAGGTCTTGGCCTTCCTGAGGACCTGGCTGTGGATTGGATTACCCAGAATGTCTACTTCTCAGACTCTCAGAAGAAACACATTGGTGTGTGCAATACTGATGGTTCTTCTTGCACTGTACTCGTTAATGAGGATATTGATCAACCAAGAAGCTTAGCTCTTTTACCGTCTCAGAGGTATGTTTCCTTGTGCTCTTTTCATTTGCATTTCAATTTCCTAAGTTAATTCTGGTTCCTTTTTCTTTTTTAGAACTATGTTCTGGTCTGATTGGGGAGACAAACCGATGATTGCTACCTCCGGCATGGATGGTTCAGATCCGAAGGTCTTAGTTTCTTCTGACATTCGCTGGCCAAACGGTCTTGCCCTAGATTTCCACAATGAACGTCTTTACTGGGTTGATGCCAAACGTCAGAAGATTGAGACAGTGAAACTTGATGGTTCGGATCGTCGGGTGAGTAGTTCTTTCCCCACTAAGGCTTCTTTGCTCAGCTTCAAAGTATTTCTAATTTTTCTTATTCTCTGCCTTAGGTCATTTTGGAGAAAGTTTTGAAGCATCCATTCGACATTGCAGTGTTCGAAGGTTCTCTTTACTGGAGTGACTGGGAAGGAAGACAGATCCAGGCATGTGATAAGTTCACTGGTAAAAATCATCGTGTTTTAATCAGAGAGCGCAAGAACAAAGTTTACGGAGTTCACATTTTCCATTCTTCAATGCAACACAGAAATGTAAGTCTTGTCCTTATCCTGCTGCTCTGGTATTGTGGTACTCTTTTTTTAACAAATTTTCATTTCAGATTACAAACCCATGTGTTGATGCTGGATGCTCTGATCTTTGTGTTCTCTCTCCAAATTCTTTGGGGTATTCCTGTGCCTGCCCTCAAGACCGGGAACTTGGAGCCGACAAGCACAAATGCCATGACTTGGACAAACGTCAGTCTGTTATTGTTGGAGCTGCTCACAACTTGTACCAGGTGGAGACCAGAGTCTTGGGCAAACTCTCTGTAACTACCATCCCACTCAGGGCTATTCACAAGATGGGAGCTCTGGCTTACAATTCATTGACAGGTAAAATGCATTTTTCTTTTCCCTATTCATTTGCTTTAGACTGTTGTCAATGAGCTAATTACACCTTTCTCATTTTTTACAGGTTCGGTTATCATTTATGACTTGGTTCAGAAGAAAATCTACTCCTACAACTTGAAATCAGCTCGCATTGATCTCTTGGTTGGTGGTGCCATTGGTGTAGTATCTGGCATGGATTTTGACTACCTTGGCAACACACTTTACTGGTGTGACGTAGAGAAGAACACCGTGGAAGTACTTTCTCTTGTGACCAATGAGCGTGCTGTGCTTCTGCGAGACCTTGGCAGTGAGGTTCCCTTGGATGTTGCTCTGGTGCCTGCATCGGGAGTCATGTTTGTGGCCTTTTCAAGTGACAGTGGCGTGCACATCGACCGCTTCAACATGGACGGAACCGGGCGCACCCACGTGATTGAAGCTGGAGTTGAAGGCCCTCACGTCTCCCTCTGGTATGACCATGAGCTGGATCGCATTTTCTGGACGGACAATGGTCTTGGCATGATTGACAGCACTTCAGTTGAGGGAACAGACAGACATGCCTTCAGAGGTTTGGCTACAAGTGTCAATGATGTTACTTCTATCAGTACTGATGTCTTCTGGGTTGATCGTCATTCTGGACTCCTGCATTGGGCCGACAAGTATGATGGATATGCCCATGAGAAGAAATACGATCTGGGTATCACGGAAGGTCTTGATGCTGTTAATTTGGTTGGTGTTAGAGGTGTTCTCTCTGCACCTGGTCATCCCTGCCAAGAAGACAATGGAGGATGTTCTCACCTTTGCCTTTTGCTAGGCAAGAGCCGTGTCTGTGCCTGCCCTGATGGTATGATTTTGAAGCATGAGAACCACACTTGTGTTGTTCCACTCCACTGTACTTCATCTCAGTTCAAGTGCAAATCTGATGACCTGTGCATTCCAAAGTCTTCAAGATGCAATGGCAAACAGGAATGTCCCAGCGGTGAAGATGAGCAAGGCTGCAAGCCCACTTGTCACTATGGTCAATTTGCTTGTGATAATGGCCAATGTATTGATGAATCTTTGAAGTGTGACTCCAACTATGATTGTACTGACAAGTCTGACGAGCTCAACTGTCACATGGTGGAGTGCGACCCAGACACTCAATTCACTTGTGAATCTGGCCAGTGCATCAGCTTGCAGTGGCGATGCAACTTTGCTGCCGACTGTCATGATGGTTCTGATGAAGCCAACTGTGAAGAATCTACTTGTGAGCGTGGGAAGATGTTCCGCTGTAAATCTGGTGCTTGTGTTCCTGCCACTTGGGAGTGTGATCATGAAATTGACTGTGCTGATGGCTCTGATGAACATGACAAGTGTGGTAAGTTCTCTCTCTGAAATATTTTTTTTTAGATTTATTGTTTGGTTTGATAGTTAATTATTTCCTTGTTTTCAGCTCCTCCACCCTGTGATTCTCCACGATTCCAGTGCACCAACCAAGTTTGCATTGATGAGCGCCTGAAATGCGATGGTCATGACAATTGTGGAGATGGATCTGATGAGAGTGGCTGTTCCTATGTGCCAACAGACAAGGAGAGTAAGCCAGATACGGAGAAAGCCGACAAACCCCTTAGCTGCACCAATGAAGAATTCAAATGCGAGAAGGAACCAATGTGTCTGCCATCTTCAGCCCGCTGCAATGGAACTGCCGAGTGTGTTGGTGGAGAAGACGAGATGGACTGCCAAGGTTGTGCTGGCCATGAATTCCAGTGCCACAATGGACATTGCATTCCCACTGCCTGGCTCTGCGACAAGTACAACGACTGTGGGGACAACTCCGATGAAGAACTCAAGGAGTGCAAGGCTTCGCTGAAGCCTAGCAGAGTATTTGAAGCATCTAAGAAATGTACCACCTTCCAGTGCCCCACCGGTGAATGTCTCCCCTGGAGTATGGTTTGCAACATTCATGAAGATTGTCCTGACGCTTCGGATGAAGGTGGACGTTGTATAACTGCCTGCTCAGCCGGACACCCTTGCCAGGGTACTTGTGTGCGCACTCCTCATGGACCTTACTGCTCATGCAATGCTGGGTATGAGTTGAAGGGAGATGGCCGCACTTGCCAGGATATCAACGAGTGTGAGGATGATCCATGTGCTCAGCTTTGCGAGAACACAGATGGCAGCTTTTCTTGCAGCTGTGGCTCAGAATTTATTTTGAGAGCTGACAAACTTTCTTGTAAAGCTACTGGTGAGTTTCAAAATTTAATGTTTGCAATTTCAACAATTTAGTGACTGGCTTTCCTAATATCTGTGCTCTTTTGCTCAGGTCCTCCAATGGAATTTATTTTCTCAACTGGAGAACAAGTTCGCAAAGCCTCTGCCAAGTTAAATGCTTTCCACATTGTAGCCGAAAATTCTGGACTTGAAATTTCTGGGTTGGATGTAGATGCCAGAGCACAGCATGTTTATTGGACAACAGGTATTCCATCTCTCTAGTGGTTCAGAAGGTAGTTCAGGATCTTCTTATCACAACTATTAATTGTTCTATTTTACAGAGGCTAATGGAATCCTGCATAGGATGTCTCTTGGTACTGGAATGCTGTCTCATGTAAGAGGTCTGGGTGTGCCTACTAAATTGGCTGTCGACTGGCTTTCCAAGAATGTCTATTACACCAACATGGCTGAGAGGGGATCAGTAAATGTTTGCAACCTAGAGAAGCAGCGTTGTGCCAGACTTGTGAAAGAAGAGGAAGGAGCCTACACTGGTGCTATTGCTGTGGATCCCAAATCTAGGTAAATTTTAGTTTTTGTAGTCCATCTGTGTGAGTGATTTAATATTTACTAGAGTAAATTTGTCTTAGCTTGCTGTTCTGGAGCCGTGTGCACCCTGGAGATGGCAGTGCACCTGTTAGTCAGCTGATGGTGTCTGATCTCTCAGGCCAGAATCAGACTCTTTTGGCCAGTGCTGACCTGATCTCAGGTATTGCTCTTGATTTAATTAAGAGGCAAGCCTACTGGTCTGACCAGCATTTGGGTCTTGTTGAGAGAGTAGACTATTCAGGTGACAACAGAGTGATGATCCGAAATGATGATGTGAGTATTTTGAAAATTATCTGATTTTAGTCTCTTTCAAAATTTGCTTACCTGGCGTTTTTGTGTTTTTAGGTTCATCATCCAATTGGTTTGAACTTATTTGAGGATATCCTCTTCTGGATCAATGGTGGTACTGGTTCTTTAACTAAATGCAGAATGTATGGCAAGCCTCAGAACTGTGAACGTGTCACCCTCAGCCATACTGATGTCAAGAACTTTGCTCTTCTGCAATCAACACGCCAAACCACTGGTAAGTATTACATCCTTCTGATTCTCTTCTCAGTTTTAATTGAAGCTAATTGATTCATCTTATCTTCTAGGTGATGATGTTTGTGCCACACTTAATTGCACTCACATGTGCGTGCTGAGTCTTCGGGGCCCCAAATGCATCTGCGAGGATGGTTCCATTATCAAGCCAGGCAAATCCTGCTCGACAGAAGTAAGTATTGTAATCATTGATAACTGTTCAATTTATGCTTTCCTCTAAATTTTTTCTTTCAAATTTTCAGCGGGAAGCGGAAGAAGTTTCAGTAGACAAGCCTTCTTTCCACATGGTGGTTGAGACTGCTGAGGCTTATGGTAAAGCCCATAGTGCTAGTTCTGTGGTTGGACCGATCATTGGAGTGATGATTGTTATCGGTGCTGCCTTTGCCTTCCTGGCCTACAAGAGGCGGTCTTCCCCTGGCATCAACTGGCCCAACCTCCCTCTTGGATTGAACATTGGCAAGCTGGGTGGAGGCGGAGGATCAAAGTAAGTTCAGATTTTCCTCTTCGGCTATGGTTCTAGGAATTGAGCAAAATGATTCATTTTTCTTGTTTCTTTTCAGTGTTACATTCGACAACCAAGCATTTGGAATGGCGTCTTCGCGGCAAGACCCCTTCGAACCTACAGTGAAGCCAGGCAACCACGAGTATGAAAACCCTACAATGGATGGGCGCCTCTCTATGTCAAGGAGTGCCCAGAGCTGGTCTGCACCGAAGAAAGTTGTTCCAGTGGACAAGATGCAGCTTGAAGATGATGACTCTGATGCAGAGTACATGGATGGCGAATACGATCAAGCTAGATTGATCCCATGAATTTCTTAATCGTTTAATTGTTTAAATATTTTATTAGATCGTTGTACATTTTAAAGTCTATATTTTAATCAGTTATGTTTAATAAATGTTGCCATGTTTCTTATCTCGTGTTACTTCATTCTTGAGCACCTATTCCTTCAAGGAAACAATTTTCATTGATGCTTCATACGCTTGAAATGCCACACCAGAAAAATTACAATTGGCATCAGAAAGGGATTACTTTCTCTAGTAGAACTTATGAGAATTCTTCAGCCAGCAAGGCACAGAGTGTAACTGGGAATGGGACAGGAGACTGCCATGGGATGTTAAAACTGGCCTTCCCGCCAACGACAACGACGGTGCTGCTCTTGCGGTGGCGCTTGGAAGCTCCCATGGTGGCGGTGGCGCGCTCAGAGCGGGCTTCGTTTGTCCGCGGGGCGGGAAGGCGCGGTGGAGGACGGCTGCCTGGCGCGGCGCGGCCCACTGCGAGTCGAGGCGAGGCGCACCCAGTCCAAGCCCAGCCGCCAGTTTCTCCGCGTCCGCTTCCGCGTGTTGACGGCGTGCTGCCCCGCTCCCGCTGCTGCTGCTCGCCCTCGTCAAGGAGAAGGAGGCAGGCGCCCAGGCCGACCGGTCACCATAGGCAGCATTCCGTTGTCGTGTCTCAGTGCTTCCAGCGTCGCCGTCGCCCCGACGTCCTCGACCGCCAACATGAGTGTCTGCAACAAGAGTGAGTACTCCTGCGGCGTCCAGGGCGCCGGTAGACCGACTTGCTGCATGTGGAACGGACTTGTAGTGTAGCAGCTCAAAGCGCGCTCGCTGCGAACATCGCTTCGTCGCCCTGCCGCTCTCGCCCCCTTTCGCCCCCTTGCGCGCGAGAGAGACAGAGCGACGAAAGTGCTGTTGGGGATCAGTGTGATCAGTGGCCGTGGGATGTCGAAGTCGGTCCGTGGCAGTGTCCCTGACGGGAGCGTCGTCGTGATGATCGTCAGGATGCTGCGTCGACACACTGACAGTGACAGCTGTCGGACTAGCGGCTGCTGTACACTGATTCCGAGAGTCGTTTTCGTCGCTCTGTCTCTCTCGCACCCTCACGGGACGCCCCGTGAGTGCGAGAGAGACAGAGCGACGAAAACGACTCTCGGAATCGGTCTGCAGGGATGCTGCGCGTTCCGTCTCATTGACCCAGCAGACTGATCCCGGAGTCTTTTCCCTCGCTGTCTCTCTTGCACCTCTACGGCACGGCCCATGAGTGCGAGAGAGACAGAGCGATCAGTCTGCAGAGCAGCCTAGAACTAGAGCTACAGGCCGGTCGGTCACTGACTCAGGCGGAGAGCGGAAAAGAACGTGTCTGTCTTGTTAAAGTAATGTCACCTTGAAATCATGCGGCCGGCCGTCTCCGAGCCCTGCGCCCAGTCCGGAGGCCTTCCCTCGTGGACTGATTCCGAGAGTCATTTTCGTCGCTCTGTCTCCCTCGCACCTACAGGACACGCTCCATGAGTGCGAGCGAGACAGAGCGACGAAAACGACTCTCGGAATCAGCCGTCTGATTCCGAACACTGCTTTCGTCGCTCTGTCTCTCTCGCACTCATGGGGCGGTCCGCAGGGGTGCGAGAGAGACAGAGCGACGAAGCCGTGTTCGGAATCAGACGGCAGTCTGCTGTCCGCGGGCGGGAGAGGATCACGGCATGGCTGCGCTTCCAGCGTAGTGTCGGTAAAAAGCGTTACGAGGGTGGCGTGCAGTGGCGTGGCCAAGGCGTGCCGCGACGCGCGCCGCGGAGCGCACACGCACGCGCCCAACTTTGTTGTGGTTCCGGCGCGTGCCGCACGCGGCCGTGACCGGAAGTCCGTCCGTCTGTCTGTCTGTCTGTCTGTCTGTCTGTCTGTCTGTCTGTCTGCGGGCTGATTCGGACTGCCCTCGTCGCTCTGTCTCTCTCGCACTCATGGGGCGCCCCGTATAGGTGCGAGAGAGACAGAGCGACGAAGCGCAGTTCGGAACCAGCAGCCCGCCGTCTGTCTGTCCGTCTAGCTGGCCGCTCTGCCACCGCGACGTGTCAAAAAAGAGAGCGGCGGCGGCGGCGGTGTTTGAACCGCGGACTGCACGGCGGGAAGCGTCTCCGCCGGGTCACCAGGCAGCAGCGGAGGCCGCGCTGTTTTGGTCCTGTTTTTGTCGGGAAAGTAGAGGCTGGACTGGACTGGACTGGCATCCGCGGAATGACCAAGTGCAGCTTGATGGTGTTGTGGTCGCTGCAGACTGATTCCGAGAGTCGCTCTGTCTCTCTCGCTCCCGTGCGGGACGCCCCGCGAGTGCGAGAGAGACAGAGCGACGAAAACGACGCTCGGAATCTGTCTACTGGCGAGGCGAGGCGAGGCGAGGGCAGGCCCCAAGGCTGCGCTCGTCCTTCACATTACTGACCCAGCCAACTTGCGGCTGGCCTCGCGCTCCGGCCGAGCCTCCAGCCTCCAGGACTCGACTGGAGTCACTCCAGGGCAGCCCACGCCCCGCACAGTGGGCCAGAAGACCAGTGGAGGCGGACAAAACTCCAGACGCGTTTTGAGCTCCAGAGTCGCTAAATGGGACTCGAACCGAACGTGTGACCCCACCAATGGATTGCTCTCCGAACGAGGGATCCATTGATGGGGTCACACGCTCGGTTCGAGTCCCATTTAGCGACTCTGCAGCTCAAAACGCGTCCAGAGTTTTGGCCACCATCACCGGTCTTCTGGCCCACTGTGCGTCGCCCCACTCCGGAGTCCGCCCGCCTGGCCCGCCTGCAGACTGATTCCGAGAGGCGTTTTCGTCGCTCTGTCTCTCTCGCACTCACAGGGCGTCCCGCGTATGGGTGCTAGAGAAACAGAGCGACGAAAACGACTCTCGGAGTCAGTCTGCTGAACAACAACTGCGTACGTGCGGGAGGGACAGCGCGACGGAAGCGCTGTCCGGAGTGAGCCTGTTGGTATCCTTGTCTCAAAGGACCGGCCGTCGGTAATTGGAAGCTTCTATGTAGCTGCCTTTGATCCTGCACACTGATGCCGAGAGTCGTTTTCGTCGCTCTGTCTCTCTCGCACTCATGGGGCGTCCCGTATAGGTGCGAGAGAGACAGAGCTATGAAAATGACTCTCGGATTCAGCCTGTTAGAGCGAGAGGCCCGGCCTGGATATTGCTTTGTAACACTGTACCGGGTCGCTGGATTGGGAAGGGGGGGGGGCGGGGGCGGCATTTGGCGGCCCACTTGCATTATTCCCCTGTCGGAAGTGAATGGATTCGGGAAAGGTGCTCTCTTGAAGGGCCCAGTGCACAGTAGGCCAGAAGACCAGTGGAGGCGGACAAAACTCTAGACGCGTTTTGAGCTCCAGAGTCGCTAAATTGGACTCGAACTGAACGTGTGACCCCACCAATGGATTGCTCTCCGAACGAGGAATCCATTGGTGGGGTCACACGTACGGTGGTTCGAGTACTGTTTAGCGACTCTGGAGCTCAAAACGCGTCTAGAGTTTTCGCCGCAAACGCCGCTTCTCTGACCCACTGTGGCACGGCTTCAAGTAAGCGCCTGCGAGGTAGGCTACCGGCCGTCCTGCAACACACCCGTGAGGAGACGGTGGCCTACCCCGCCCCTGTCATCGTCACAGGGGCGAGGTAGGCCGCCGTCTGCACGCCGGTGTGTTGCGGGCCGGGTGACAGTGACTGTGGGTTATTGCCCCTTCACTTGGGGGGGGGGGGGGGATTTGGCGCTGGGTGTGACCTGCCCTGGGCGTTTTTTTTTTTTTAATATGTTTTCGCACTTCGCGGGAGAGAGACGGAGACGCCCTCTGCGGCTGTCACCGGGGTCGGGGCGTTTTCGGCGACCCACAGAGGCGCCGCGCTGCGCCACGCCACGTCACGCCACGCCATCTTGGAAGATAAGGAGGTGCCGATAAAGAAGCGAACAGCTGATCGGACGTGACGCTGGCTTCAGTCTCGTCACGCTGGCCGCCGCGCTGGCCCGTGCGCCCACTGGGGTCACGATCCCCGTTTCAAACTATCCCGCCACTAGTTTCACGACAGCTGCACAGTGGGCCAGAAGTCCGGTGGAGGCGGCGACACTTATAGGCGTGTTTGAGCTCCAGAGCCGCTTAACAGGACTCGAACCGAACGTGTGACCCCACCAATGGATTTCTCATTCGGAGAGCAATCCATTTGGTGGGGTCACACGTTCGGTTCGAGTCCTGCTTAGCGAATCTGGAGCTCACACGCCTATAAGTGTCGCCGCCTCCACCGGTCTTCTAGCCCAGTGTAAACTGTCTCCTGGAAATTAAAAAGAAAATGATCAGTATTTGCAGTGGAGATACGTGTGTTATGATTGGCGAGTCGAGTCCGGCGGAAGCCGAGCGCCGCGTTGCCGGAAATGGGTCTGCCCTCGAACTTTGAAGGAAGGGAGTGCCGGCTCGGTGCGGGTACTGGTACTCGCTCGCGCTCTGCGAGCTGGATGCTGGTGGCCTTCCTCGGCGGGGCGGGGTGGGGCGGGGCGGGGCGGGGCGGGGCGTTCCTTCGCGCGTTATGCACAGCGCGCGGGCACAGGCAGTCATTATGCACCCCGGGAGAGCAGAGTCTACAGCCTGCGAGTAGAATTTGGAAACCTGAACACAAAATCGATCTAGGTCAAGTAGCGACACTGTGACGCAGACCCTGCACCAACAGGCCACGCCGTCCGCGCGGAGCTTGTTATGAATTGACGAAGGAAATCTGAGGAGGGCGTGGAGGTCCCCGCGGCATCGATCGGCTTGTCGGCTTGGCTGGGCCCTCCGTGTCGCAGACCGGTCATTATGCTCGCCCGCCAAGGGCCGCGCAGTGGGCCAGAAGACCGGTGCAGGCGGCCAAAACTCCAGACGCGTTTTGAGCTCCAGAGTCGCTAAATGGGACTCGAACCGAACGTGTGACCCCTCTAATGGATTCCTCGTTCGGAGAGCAATCCATTGGTGGGGTCACACGTTCGATTCCAGTCCCATTTAGCGACTCTCGAGCTCAAAATGCGTCCGGGGAATTCCGCCGCCACTGGTCTTCTGGCACACTGTGAGTCGTGGAGGGAACAAAGTAATAAAGCGAATCGGGACGGGATTCAAACCCGGGCCTCGTCGGAATCGCCCGGAATGTGCCAGTGTGCCAGTGTGGCAGTATGCAATGGAAGCAAGGCCGGCGCGGCGGCGTCCAAGGACCCGTGTCAATGGACAGCGGGGCACAGTGTGAGAGTAGAGTCGCCGCCGAGCGATTCAGAAGAGTCATTTCCTACTCCGTCGCACTCATGGGGCTCTCCAGAGGGGTGCGAGAGAGACAGAGCGACGAACCGCTCCCCTGAATCTCTCGGCTGGCCGCCGGTACCCGGTCCGGCCGGTCCTGACCTGGCCCGTGTTGTTTTTGTTGCTGCTTGCTGCTTGTGTTGGCTCGCCTCCGCCTCCTCGCCCCGCGGCCGCACAGTGGGCCAGAAGACCCGCGGAGGCGGTCAAAATCCCGGACGCATTTTGAGCTCCAGCGTCGCTAAATGGGACTCGAACCGAACGTGTGACCCCACCAACGGATTGCTCTCTGAACGAGGAATCCATTGGTGGGGTCACACGTTCGGTTAAAGTTCTGTTTAGCGATAGCGACTCTGGAGTTCAAAACGCGTCTAGAGTTTTGGCCGCCTGCACCGGTCTTCTGGCCCACTGTGCGCCGCGGCCGCGCGTAGCGCACTCCGGGATTTCTGAATCAACCCG